CTTTTAGGCATTTATTTAACCCTTTTATTCAAAAGTTTTTAAAAAACTGTTTAATTTTCTTGGTCCATTAAAAACAGAAAACCGACTTGTCCATCCAAGGCTGCCTTGCTCACAGGGTGACAACTCTGATGTGCATTTCCATTGCACAGAGGTCAGCGTTGTCACCCCGTTACAGGAAATGAATAGAATGACAGACCTGCTGGCGGGATCAACAGGTAGTAGTAAAACCTGCTGTGTCGATGCCACTTGTGTAGAGTTCCTCTCATAGTCTGGATTGGAATGGAGGGTTTTATGTACAGTGGTTTTGGGTTATTTTAAAGTGTTTGTTAATGGGAAGCATAACAGCCCACTCACCTCGGCTTCAACCACCTGACTACCACCGTGTACCAGTGGCCAGTGGGTGGACGCCGTTATAGGCATGGTGGCAGGTGTACTCACAATGCCATTATACAGCTCGGGTCAATCAAAGGGGCTCTGTACCATGTGATCACTGTGAACCAATCACAGCAATCATTAGACAAACAGCTCCTGCTGTCTTTCAGAAATCTTTCATGATCTGGAAATTCAGTGCACATAATTATTATTTTTAACAATTATGTTATACAGTCATGGCCAAAAATATTGGCACCCCGGCATTTCTGTCAGATAACGCACCACTTTGCGCAGAAAATTGTTGCCATGACAAATGTTTCGGCGTTCTCGTGTTTATTTCTTTTCTTTGTATTGTTATGACACCAAAAAGTGGAGAAAAAAAAAAAGCCGAACCTGACCCATTCCACGCAAAACTCCCAAAACGGACCGGACATAATTGTTGGAACCTTCTCCAGATGGCGTTCAAAGTTTGTGACGCTCCTGTCATTTGTCATGAAACCCGCCGGTATCAATGAACAGGTGCTGAGCACGGGGTGTGTCTACCGCAAGGCAAACGAGACATTTTGGCCGTGATTGTAGAAATAGTAAAAAGATCAGAAATATATAAAGAAAAAAAATGCAGAAACGTAAAAGTTAAAAAAATAAAATAATAGAATTGTCCTGAAAGGCATTAAATTGTCTCCTTCCGCAGAGTGTCATTACGGGGTCAGGGACACGATTCTATTCACGGCTTTGTCGGGGTGTTTGCCGTGTTGTCACGCTGCCAGCCCCCCCTCACCCGCCACCAACACGTCTCACGCTTTGGAGGTCCGTTAGGATCTTCTCTCCGTATTGATTTCATTCATTTCCTGGCCGCTGCTCCGCGTCACCTCCACAAACACCGGAATATTCCATGGAATTAGAGCGCGGCGCTCTCTGCACTCTCCGGCCGCCGCCGTGAAACCATAATCAGATTATCAGCAATTATTACCAATACCCGACCGCAAACTCAGCCGAAGATAACAAGAGAGAAATAAAGCGACTATCGGAACGTGCAATAATCCGATTTATCTTCCATCCAGAGATTCCCGCAGTACTTTCTGTGGCCACTAGATGTCCTCAGTCCAATAGCCCGCCTGTGACTGGAGAGTGAAAGGAGAAGCCAGACAGTGATGAGCTCATCTCTCTGTCACTCTGCTCCCTCCTCCTATCAGCATGTCTGCAATCTCTGACCACCTACTGTACCATGTCTGCAGTCTCTGACCGTCTCCTGTACCATG